TTTAAGCTGGATCTTGCGAGAGGTGTTTGGGAGAAGATGGAGAATCTTGGTGGTTTGACGATGTTTGTGAGTGTTAATTCATGTGAATCAAGAACTTATGTGGATGAGGGGATGTTGAGGAACAGTGTTTACTTCCCTAAGTTGTGTGATGATGAGACGCGTTGCGTGAGGTATTCGTTTGATGAGAGGAGATACGATCCGGTTGAGCACAGTGTTAACTGGGGAAAGCAGAGTTCTTCTGAGGACATTTGGATTAAGGCTCCTGAGTATGGATATGAGATGGTTTAGGTTTAATGGAGGCTTAAGTTAATTTTAGGTTATGACTCAAGCTTGGACAAGGTATGGTGTCTACAATTCCTTCATTAGCCATGTAATCACATAGTGGAGCCTGTTTTCTTTATGTATTTGTCTTTGGATTTGTTAGCTTAAACAATAACATTCACCGGTGAGAGAGATTATGGATATTTGATACAAAGAAGCTTGCATTAGAACTATAAAGGATAATACAGTATTTCTTTTTGCTTCTCTACATGTTTCAAGTTTAGGAGTGAATCTTTCAAGATTATGGGTTAAAGTTGTACATACCCACCAGACTGATATTTCAGAATTCAGATGTTTGTGAAATGCATATCAAAACCATGTTCTAGCATAGGAATGAGCTTTAGTGTTGTTATAAGGGATATTTCGGTTTTTGTATATGGTGTTTTGCAGATTTTGTTGCGGTGTCTTGTTGTCTTCTTTTAGTTTTGAATTTCACTTTTGGATTTTAGTTTTTGTGCTCAAAGTTTGATGCTTTGCTCATGGGGAATAGGAACCGTTGTCTTATTATCATAAATATGCTTTTGAGCACAATGTGGTTTGCTGTTAAAAAAAAAAAAAAAAGAAAAAAGAGCACAATGTGGTTTCATGTGAGATATTATCTGTCATATACTGTAACCTCCAAAGATGGAATTATTTGAGGGTCAAAAACCTTGTATGTTTTATGCTTGATCATAAGGAAACAGTGTTTGTGGTGTTCTTGTGATTAGGTCTTGTTCATATGCAAATGCTTTTTTGGCCTTCTCATTGATGTGTGATATGTGCTACTCATTTCTATGGATTTGTTTATGTTCTGGTGGTTTCTTTGTTATATTGTAACATGCTAAAGAACTTTGGCATTGCTTGAGATGAACACGAGGAAAGACTGAATGTGAATGAATTATACCATTGAATCCAAGTCTGCATTTAAATATTCTAAAAGTCTACATTATCAATCAAAATTAATTAATTAACCTCTAACAAACCATCATAAAATAGAGGTTATGATGGTGAAGTCCATTGAAGCTAACTAGAGCTGGTTGTTTAGGTGAGGTCTTGGTCTGAATATCCTACCACACACACAAGTTTAAGTTATTATTAACTAGCAAATTTCAAATGTTAGATGGCAATGTGTATTTTATCTAATTGTCCAAGTAGTGGATTGTGGCAGGTAGTGGACCTAGTGGTATAAGTCTCATGACACTAATAAGAGAAAATGGGTTAGTGAGAGATTTGTGATCTTTGTCATGTTAGAGAAAATTAGAGATTTTTCAACATTCTTGTCTACTTATTACGACCTAGTGGTATAAGTCTCATGACACAAGAATGTTGAAAAATTCTGGTTTATTACGACTACACATACATCTTTAGGCGGCTTAAGGTTGCAATTTTTTTTCATAATTTCTACTGCAATTTGTTCTATTTATAATTTAAATAGAGCTTCACGATTTTTCTAAAGAGATTGCAAAAAACATTTGAGTGACAAAAAAGAATGGAAATCAACCTTGATCTAAAGAAACTATGAAATGAACTTCTAAATGACAAGAAAATATGAGATGTATTTTGCAGATGATTAAAGATTTCAAAATTTTCATATTTCTAATGCATTTTTTTTTAGACTGTACTTTCAAAGAAAACCATTTTTCTTTTGCTAACTATTGTAAAACCAATGCAATGACAGAAAATAGTTTGAAAATATTAAATTTCAAATATAGGATCAAATGAACAGAAAAAAATATATATTTTAGGATATGAAAGTCTTCCTAAAATGTACGACCAATATATGTTTGGCAACAAAACACTATACAGTTTTTTATATACTTCATTCTCTGTCTCCATCCTTTTGAAATGCAACTGCAAGAAGTAGAAGACGAAGAAAGAAGTTAAAATCGAAATCGTGAGTTTTCTCTTCTCGTCCTCCTTTTTCCTATTACTCAAATATCATAAGTTCTTCTATCGAATCTCAATCTTCTTGCTTAGATGCTAACTAACTTGTGCGGATACTTGTTAATTTGGAAGACTTGGCGCAAGTTAGCATCGACTTTTGTTGACGGAGACCAGATCGAGAGACTCTCAAAGACGAAGTCTTTATGATTGATTGGACGAATACTGTTGCTGGGTTTTGATTTCTCTTCCATTTCGTTGAACTAAGCGCTGAATTAAAGAAAATCAATGTATACCCGAAGTTGAATCTCCTGTTCGTGAGCTCAAAGGTAGTTTCTTTAGTTGCTGCTGCTAAAGAGTAAAACTTTTAAGGGATTTACTAAGTTGATTTGTGAGTAAATCCCCAATTATAGAAGGTTGAGCTGTGTTCTCTGAGCAATCTAATTGGTGTTGAGCTAATTTGGACTTGGTAGTTTAGCCAAAGGTCAAAACTTTGACTTGCTTGATACTCTGAAATCTGGGGAAAAGTTCTGATTTTTTTTGTGATTTATCGTCTATGTATGTTGATTTGTGTGCTCAAAGTGGTGTGTTTGAGTCTCTTGACTTGCTTGATGCTCCAAATTCTCTGTCTTTATTTTGATTGTAAGCCATTTCTTCCATTGGCAGCTTATACTGAAAGATTCTGCCATTTTTGGAGGCCTCTTCTACTCTCTTTGAACTTGCCGTTGATCGAACTCATCTCTGAGGTTATTAGTAAACCAGTGGAACTGGAGTTTGTAATCAAGCCTTTTGTCCATTGAGGAGACCTTATTGTTGAAGTGGTAAGTCTTTGAACAAAAAGATGTCTAATGGTTGTGATGACTATAGTCTTAAGTGGTTCTTTATCTCTGTGGTAGGTACTCATTTTGAGATGAAACCCTACGAACACGATGGAGTAGACTTGGAAGATGGGAAGACAAGAAAACCCGGAGATAAACCAGCTCTGAGAAAGATACATAACCAGGCTTTGTTATCTGGTTTAGCTTATTGCATTTCATCATGCAGCATGATACTGGTGAACAAGTTTGTTCTTTCCAGCTACAACTTCAACGCTGGGATATTTCTAATGCTATACCAGGTACGTTCATGTGTGACTTCGACTAGTTTGATGTATGTGGTTGGTTGTTTTTTTTCATATTGCTTACACTGTCTGTGATGGTTGCAGAATTTTGTCTCAGTGATCATTGTAATTATTTTGAGCTTAACGGGTCTAATAACAACGGAACCATTGACCTGGAGATTGATTAAGGTCTGGTTTCCTGTGAACGTTATCTTCGTTGGTATGCTTATCACAAGCATGTTTAGGTAGGACTGAGTTCTTATACCTTTATTTTCAGCTTCATGTTGTATATGACATGATATTCGGAATTTAAGCTACAGTAGTGTTAAGATATGTTTGTACTATTTGTTTCTGTGACAGTTTGAAATACATCAACGTAGCAATGGTCACTGTCCTGAAGAATGTGACTAATGTAATCACAGCAGTTGGTGAGATGTATCTATTCAACAAGCATCATGACAACAGGGTTTGGCTTGCTCTCTTCTTAATGGTACGTTTGTCCATTTGAAAGGTTTTATGTTTGATGTTATTATGTGATATTATGGTTGATGTTGTCTAATGAGAGATTCTTCTCTTAATCAATGCAGATCATTTCTGCAGTATCTGGAGGAATAACAGATCTATCTTTCAACGCTGTTGGCTATTGTTGGCAAATTGCTAACTGTTTCTTGACTGCATCTTACTCTGTGAGTCAACATTTGATCTTGTGTGCACTTTTATCACAATATCTACTAGACTAGTCACAATATTGTTGTTGATTTTGCAGCTGACATTGAGAAGGACCATGGATACAGCCAAGCAAGTTACTCAATCGGGAAACTTGAACGAGTTCTCAATGGTCTTGCTTAATAACACACTCTCATTACCTCTTGGCATTGTTCTTTCTTTTGCTTTCAACGAGACAGATTATCTGTTTAAAACGTGAGTTACTTACTTCCTTACTTACCTCTTCTCCTGTCAAGTATGGTTTTGTGTTATCTTTGCTTATTATGTTTTGTACAGGCCACTTCTGCGATTGCCAAGTTTCTGGATGGTTATGACACTCAGTGGACTTCTAGGTCTTGCCATTAGCTTCACTTCAATGTGGTTTCTTCATCAAACCGGAGCTACAACATACAGGTAAACAAATTAGACAGTAAAATAAATTGCAACCTCAAACTTTGTGTCTTGCTTCTTTGGTTGGTTATTCTTATTGACATCTCCTTGTTTTACGCAATTTCGCAGCTTGGTGGGATCGTTAAACAAGATACCATTGTCTATTGCCGGGATCGTTCTTTTCAATGTACCTACAAGTTTGCAGAACTCTGCAAGCATACTCTTTGGTAAATACATTCTCTCTGTTCCATTGCCAAATTAAACACATATCTATCTTGTGCTTTGCATTGACTTGAGAGAGAGGGTTGTTTTATGTTCTTGCAGGTCTTGTTGCTGGAGTTGTTTTTGCTAGAGCCAAAATGAGGGAGAAGTCTTAAGAAACATGATTAAAAGCTTTCCCCAATTCAATTGTTTGTAGTGTAGAATTGGGTTTTACAACCTCACAAAATTTATTAAAGCAATCACCACATGACTCTATGAGTGGTGTTTAAGATTTTATAGTAAAAAATGAATGTATTAATTCTTGAGTAGTAATATGTGTTTCTTTGTTAGCAAGTTTTCTGTGAACAAACTATCAAAGAATGATCCAAATTCTTGAAATTTAGTGAAGGCCCATAAAAGCCCTAAAAGTCTTGAAGTTTTGTGACGTCCTATAAAAGCTCAAAGTAAAAAAAAAAAACGAGAAGAAGTTGATGATTTCGTCCCTTTTAACTCCGCTGATGTCGTCACCGGAAAAGCAGTCTCCGCCGCCGCAGTCGTGCACGTTTTTGTCGCTTCCATATGATATACAATTAACTTGCGTAGCACGCATCTCAAGGTTGTACTATCCGTCTCCAAGACCTTCCGATCTCTCCTTGCTTCACCGGAGCTTTACAAAGAACGGTCACGCTTAGGCCGAACCGAGAGTTGTCTTTATGTGAGGGTAAGGCACAATAGCGCTAGTCACTGGTACATTCTCTGCCGGAAACCTGACAAAACCCTAACTAATAGCATCAAGTCAGCTGGTTATGTTTTGGCTAGAGTTCCAGTTCCAGTTCCAGCCCCAGCTCACCTCACTCACGTGTCCGTTGGTTCTTGTATCTACAGCTTTTCTCGATGGGGATCATTGAGCGTCTCCGTTATGGATTGCCAGTCTCACATGTGGGCCGCAAGGTTCCCAGTTAACCTAGTTATACGTTCTGCTAGCGTCTTTGATCAAAAGATATATGTAGCAGCATTGGGACGCAACAAAGTCGGTGATTCCTTTCCGAACTATTTCGCAGTGTTCGACACGAAAACACAACATTTGGATCCTCTGCCTCTCCCTTGCACAGATAAAAACTTCTGTTTACGAGACTGCTATAGCGCATGTATTGACGGAAAGTTCTACGTGATGGCGGGTGACTCAGATGTGGCTGCTTACGATCCCAAGGAAGGCAGATGGGACCTAACTAGATCAAGAATGAGTAGGTTTATGTATGATGATTCTTATTGCGTGATAGGGAATGTTTTGTACAGTTTTTTCTTCGAAAAGTTGCAATGGTATGACAGTGAGGGACGTAACTGGAGAGATTTGCAGGGTTTGGTAGGACTACCTAAGTTACCTACTGCCCGTCATGTTACATTGGCTGATTATGGTGGAAAGATGGTGGTTTTGTGGAAGAATGAAACGACTTATGACGACGACATGTCTCACGGATGCTCTTTTTTTTTTTGGTCGTGCGTCTCACGGATGCTCTAGTGAAAAGATTTGGTGTGCCGAGATTGCGCTTGAAAGAAGCGAAAAAGGGGGTGAAATTTCGGGGAAAGTTGAGTGGTTTGATGTTGTGCTTACATCCCATGAGGAATGTCGTTTCATCAAGGCTGTTGCTGTTACTGTCTGATCAACGTGTCACTAGGCTTGGCTTGAACGTTTGTCAGTTTTGGTAATACTATAATTTTCTTTGGAATGATGTATGCAACTATGATATGATGCTTGAAAAAAAAAGTATCTTACGTGTCTTAATAACAACGGCGATCACTGTGGTGATTTTGAGCTTTACGGGTCTAATAAAACACTTTCGTTACCTCTTGGCATTGTTCTTTCTTTTGCTTTCAACGAGACAGATTATCTGTATACAACGTGAGTTACTTACTTCCTATCCTCTTCTCCTGTCAACTAGGAAGTGGTTTTGTGTTTTGTGCAGGCCACTTCTGCGATTGCCAAGTTTCTGGATGGTCATGACACTCAGTGGACTTCTTGGTCTTGCCATTAGCTTCACTTCAATGTGGTTTCTTCATCAAACCGGATCTACAACATACTAGTAAACAATCTAGACAATAAAAATGCAATTTCAAACTTGGTTTATCCTTATTGACATCTCCTTGTTTTACACGATTTCACGGTTTTTATATTGCTAAATCCGAAATAACCAAAACTGGAATAACCGGACCGAACCGAACTGAATAACCGAATGCCCAGGGAACGAACTATCCAAGAATGATCTAAATTCTTGAAATTTAGTGAAGGCCCATAAAAGCCCTAAAAGTCTTGCAATTTTGTGACGTCCGATAAAAGTTCAAAGTCAAACAAGTTACACTGCCAAAAAAGCAAAGTCAAAAAAAAAAAAAAAGTTGATTTCGTCCTTTAACTCCGCTGATGTCGTCCCCGAAAAAGGGAAAGAGTAAGAGGGAGGAGGAGCAGTCTCCGCCGCAGTCATGCACGTTTCTGTCGCTTCCCTATGATTTACTGTTAACTTGTGTAGCACGCATCTCAAGGTTGTACTATCCGTCTCTTTCTCTCGTCTCCAAGACCTTCCGATCTCTCCTTGATTCACCGGAGCTTTACAAAGAACGGTCACGCTTAGGCCAAACCGAGAGTTGTCTTTATGTGTGCGTAAGTCACACTAATGCTAATCGCTGGTACACCCTCCGGAAACTGTTGAATCCGAGATAGCACTCGTTAAGACGGGCTATCTTAGATGTGAGTTTAGGAAACTGGAATGCGCTTAATTCGACTCTTAGATTATCAAGAAGATTACAAGAGAGCAATCTCGCTAACAAGCCTAGCGAGATTATGATGGTGAACAAGAGGATAGAGTAAAAGCTAATGTGAAAGCCTAGTGATTCTAGATGATTTCGGATCCCTCTCCCAAAGGGGGGGTCTTCAATATATATGGTTGATAAGTCGGCCGAATGGCGAGTATTCTCCTTCAGGCGAGATGGAAAACTTCCTCTTTTGCGATATGGAAAATTCCCTCTTGTTTTTGGATCTTTCTCCATTCTTTAAGTCGGCATGAAGATTTATTTACATTTCTCCATGGATTGTGCCTTTCTCTTCAAGTCTTGCCTTTTTCTTGAAGATGTTAGGCCTAAAATCGGATTGGGCTTTGTTACTTTACTAATGATGACGGGCTCAGGGAAATGTGCTAATTTCTCCTCTAACAATAAGTCCCCCCGCCAGCTCGGCAGGTCAAATGTAGTTTGATCTCGGCGAGCTTCATGAATAGAGGACGAGCTTGAGAATCATTAGTAAAATACATCACTTCAATCGGATCTTAGTGCCTAGGTGCATGCTGAATGTAGATTCGTGCCGCCTCATTAAAACCTTGGTACGGAAAAACCCAATTGGGACAAAAACCATAAAAAGGAAAAAGAGTACGTTGACGTCATCTAATTCATGAGTAATCGTAGAAATCTTTCTTTCGTAGTAGTAATGGGTTTTAATCGGCCCATGATCCGGTTCGAGGGTGAAATCGTTTGGGCGGGAACAGGAAAAAGTCTCGGAGAAGCCTTCTCTTCTGAGAATCATGGAATTCTTATTTAAGGAAATGATTAGGATTTCCTAAGGGTGCTTATTCCTTTTTCGTGATATCGATTTCACCAAGTGCCCTTCGAGAGAGAGCGAATATCCCTTCGCTGCCCTGACTTGCATTTCCTTCCTTCTACCTTATTCTTTCGCGCTTTCGATGGTGCAAATCGAGACCAGTTCATCGATGTCGACGTCGGCCCTTGAGCATAATGCTGTCCCAAGGAGATTTGCGAGACGGTGGGTTTGGCGAAGGCGATGAACTCATCCGTTAAAGGGGAATCCGAGGTTCTAAACGGGGAATGCGGCGACCGTTCTTGCGAGGGATTCCGCACGAGGATACGGGATCCGATCCTGAGCTCGGTGAGGAGAAAGTCCCTGATTGCGCTAGGCTCGATGGTATCCCTCAAAAGATTGAGATGCCGTGGAGATCATCGTCAAGATCTCTGGCTCGGGATGGTCGATCGGGGATGACCGAAGATATAGTCATCGCTTTGCGGGAGAGGGTGGGAATCAGTGACGCGGTCAAGATTCTCGTTCCCTTACCTGACCAAAGGCCGATGGACGCTCCACCTGGATGGTTTTGCCTCTACGAATGCTTCCTCACGGAGTTTGGAATACGTTTTCCGGTCCTCCCGTTACTTCTCGAGTATGCGTATGAGCGGGGTGTAGCGTTGAGTCAGCTGACCCATGGTGTAGTGCGGCATATGGTCTTCTCGGACCGCTCTGGCGAAGGCAGCCGGGATGAAGCTAGACAGGGAGCTCTTTGAGCGTATAACTGATCTTCGTGCTGGGGTTAAGGAAGGAGGTTTCAAGCGTTTCCACACATCGATGAAACATGACATCGTTTTTGGTGATCATCGAACGAAGATTCATCACTGGACGCGCTACTACTTTTTTGTCAAGGATCGACCGTGCTTCGGTCGGGGATTTCGATCCTAGTCACGTCTTAACAAAATGGGTCCAGGAGCCGGGTAAAGTGGTTGTGAATTCTTCCTTATTTTTACGGTTGCTTCGTATGCTAACTTACGCCCCCATTATCTGATATGCAGGAAGGATTGTCCCAAGGAAAGTAAATACTACTTTAAAGGAGAAGTTTAGAACTTTACGCGACTTGAGTAGAGAGACTTGGGCGGATGCGTTTGCCGAGACCGAAAGGAAGAAGAAGGAAAAGAAAGGAAAGGCTATTGCTATAGCGATTCCTCTCCCTGGTGAGTGTTTGATCATCGCCTTTGAATTTTTACGCCTGGTCCGGCTTTAAATCGCGCTCCCTGATGTCTTCCAGATAAGTTGCCGGGTGTTGCTAGGAAGACAGGCTTAAGGAAAAGGGCTCCGGCTTTGGTGGATGATGATATCCTGATTTCTGATCCTTTATCCAAGCGGATGAGGTCAGATTCCTGCGAGCTAGGTGATCTTCCTCAGTCACTGGGGTCTCTTGGGGGTGTCACCAGTGGCGATTTCTCTTCTCGGACTGTCGTGGCTTCTACTGGTCAGGGCGGGGATATGAGTATCCTGGAGTCTGGAGGTGACGGGGTGACGGATTCCGTCGGGATAGACTCCGATGCTGTCTCCTTTAAGTGGAAAGGTGGTGCTCCTTTAATGGATAATGGCGACTTTAGTGGAGAGATGGTTTGGGGTTGCAAACCTAAGCCATGCTGGGGGGTTCCGCGTGGTGAGCTTGAGTTCAAGGGTGCTTTCGATGAGGCTTCTAATAATCTTATTAGAGCCGGAGGGAAGTTTGCTGCGTTGATTCAACTTTATGACGGGCGCTCAAGGGTGCTCGGAGCGGAGTTGATCAAATTAAAGCCGATTTGTTTGATAACTTTGATGGTGATGCGGCTGCAGTTAGGTTTCGAGAAGAAAAGAGTGCTTTTGAAAAGAAGATAGAAGCTCTCAGGTTGCGAAGGTGTGGCCTTGAGGTTGAAAATAATCAACTTCGGGACAAAATTACGCAACTGGAGGATAAAGCCTGTCGGGACATGGAAAACTCGATTGCCGAGATGGCTCGTCTTCGCAAGTCTCGGAAGAAGTGGGCTGAGTTGACGGCTGCTCAAGTGTACGAATCAATGCATAATTGGTATACTCCGAGGTTGGACCGTATAGGTAGATACGTCAGTCAGCGGGATGCAGTGGAGAAGGCGGTGATTAGGATTCAAGTCGACGAGGCTCTTCTTTCCTATGTCAGGAAAATAAAGGGGGTCGAGCAGGACTTTGATGCGGTGGAGAAGATGCTTGCGGCCCGGTTGCGGGAGAGTAAGGCCGCCGGAGACTTGGTTGAGGATGACGAAGTTGAAGCTGATGACTATGCTCCGCCCTAAGGTTAGATCTTCGTTTTCGTCTTGCTGAATTTTGCTTTGACAGCGCATGGATTGTTCCACGGAATTTTGATCAATATGGGTCAATATATCGAACTTTCAGGCCTACCCTAGCTGAGCTGGCGTTTCCGGGATCCCCATCGCGTCATCAATCGAAGTAGGCTGAAGTCGAAATTGTCTTTCTTTTTTCTCTTTTGATAGTTTCCCATTTGCTTTTATCGTGACAATTGCCCGGGAGGGCTTTTATCCTTAAACTTTGGGTTTAGTTTTGGACGTTATTTGGTGCTTTATTTGCTGCTTTGTTGGCGAAACAAATTGGCTTAGACATAGTTGATAATTTCACAGCGCGATGAAAGAACCCAGCTTTAGGCCATGTCTTTTAATGAGAAACAATACGCCTTCAATCGGTTGGGGTAGGCTAGTTTATTCGATCGTCATCGGATAAACGGCTTACCTATGCCGAGATGGCTTGTTAATCTCAAGTGTGTCGAACGAGTGCTTTCGTTTGACGGTGCGGATGCGTCGTGATGTTCTTCGAAGCTTTCGTAGTCTGTCACGATTCTCATTCGAGACACCGACCGATGCGTATTAGGTCTGAGGTGCTGTGATTCGGTAGATCACATGTTTTGGCGACGAGGTCTAGGGGCTCGATTTATGCCAACGATTCCATGGTCCGTTATGTGTAACGAGTAGCGATTTTTCTTCTCGTTCATAGGGGCTGGTGTCGTGCGAGGTGTGCTCTCGTCTTTTGTGGGTGATCAGTCCACGGGTGCTGCGTTTAAGTGCATCCGAGCGTTGGGCCAGAACGTCGGTGTGTTGCGTTATTTCGGAATTATGCTTTGCGTGCGGTGCTTGCGTTGCCGATGTCTTCGGTAGGAAACTCAGTTACCGGTTGAGGGCAGAAGTCGTTTACTTCTGGGTCCTTGCCGAGACGGGAACCCTTCCGAAGAGGTTCGATAAGAAGTGCTTGCATAAAAATAAAAGAGCTATTTATTTTTATTAATTTATAGCTGTGCCTTTATCGAGAAAGACTGCCTACGTACCCATGCCGGGATCAAGCCAATCGTAGTTCATTACAAATGTTCATGTCATGGACATTTTTTTTTTTTTTTTTTTTTTTTGTGCGGTGCGACGCGTCTAGGTGTAGAACCTGCGTAGGTTCATGGAGTTCCATGGACGAGGCAATGGGTTTCCGTGACAATCGTCCAGCTCGTAGACCCCGGGTTTGATGATCTTGGTGATGCGAAACGGTCCTTCCCAATGGAACCCGAATTTGCCTGCGTGCTCGGGTTTGGTAAAGTCGTGGACCTTCTTAGATACAAGGTCGTAGAGCTCGAAGCGCCGGTTTCGCACCTTCCTGTCGTAATATCTGGTTGCTTGTTGTTGGTAGTTTTGCATACGCAGGAGGGCGCGATCCCGTAGCTCTTCGGCGTGGTCTAAACTATGCAGGAGTGAGTCGTCATTCAATGCCGGGTTGAGGGGCATTAACGATCGTCGTAAGCTGGCTACGTGCAGTTCTGCCGGTGTGCTAGCTTCGCAACCGTGCGACAAAGAGAATGGGGTTTCCCCGGATGCGGTTCTGGGGTGGTTCGATGCGACCAGAGCACTCCATCCAATTCGTCCGCCCAAGCTCCTTGGTAGCCTTCAAGCCTTTTTTTCAATCCATCAACAATAGTTTTGTTTGTGGACTCGGCTTGTCCATTAGCTTGAGGATATCTTGGCGTGGAGTAAGTGATCTTGATGTTCCACGATGCGCAAAATTCTCGGAAAGTTGCTGCGACGAATTGTCCTCCGTTGTCCGTGACGATCTCATAAGGAAGACCGTGACGGCATATGATATACTGCCACACAAAGTTTCTTACGTCATGAGCCGTTGGGTTTTTGTACGCTTTTGCTTCTACCCACTTAGTAAAGTAGTCGGTGACGACCAAGAGGTAAGCGCATTGCCGTGAGCGTGGCATGGGGCCGACGATATCCATTCCCCAGCGCATAAAGGGATATGCCGGGATCGCAGCTTGAAGTGCTTGCGTTGGGGCGTTGATCGCCGGTGCGTATCTTTGGCAGGGGACGCATTTGGCGGCGACGTTTATGCAATCGCCGATCATCGTTGGCCAGAAGTATCCGATCTTCTTAATTTTTAAAGCGAGTGATCTTCCGCCGGCGTGGTTTCCTGATGCTCCCTCGTGGGTCTCGACCATGATGCTCTTAGCTTGTGCTTCGTCGCAGCATCGCAGGATGACTTTGTTTGCGCTCCAGCGAAAAAGCTCGTTGTTGCGTAAGAAGTAGTAAGCTGCTTTTCGTCGGAGGCGGCGGGCCGCCCATCGCTCCTCTGGCACGGCGTCGTTGATGAGGTAATTTCTGATTTCATCCTGCCATGATTTGTGTTCTGCTGACTCGTCATCAGTGAGGTTTTCGTCTTCTTCTTCTTCTTGCGAGATTGCCATGACGACGGTTCCCTTGGGGAGTTTGATGCTTGGTTCGTCGATGGTTTCGACCGGGATGACCCGTCGCAGTGCTGATTCGGTTTTTGACGCCAAGGCTGCGAGTGCGTCGGCTTCGGAATTCTCGGAACGGGGGATCTTTGTCAACTCGAACGTCTTGAATGCTTTGGCAAGTCTTTGCGTTTGTTTGAGATACGCATCCATGCGATCGTCTTTCGTGTCGTAGTCACCGCTGAATTGTTTAGCGACGAGCTGAGAGTCGCAGAACGCACGAACGTGTTCTGCTCCGACTGCTTCGGCGAGACGAAGTCCGGCAATAATCGCTTCGTATTCGGCTTCGTTGTTGGACGCTGGGAAACCGAGTTTGATCGATTGCTCGAGAATCTCGCCTGTCGGGGAGACGAGGCGGATGCCGACGCCTGCTCCTTGCCTGGAGGACGATCCGTCGACATGCAGTGTCCATTTGAGGATTTGCTCGTCCTCTTGAGTTGCGAGCTCTGGTGGGATTTCTACGATGAAGTCGGCTAGACTTGTGACTTGGCGCTCGTCCGGCTTTTGAACTCAATATCGTATTCCGATAGTTCGATTGCCCATCTTGCCATTCTTCCGGATTGGTTGGGGCCGTGAAGGATTTGGCGTAGTGGTTGGCTGGTAAAGACGACGATGGAGTGTGATTGAAAATATGGCCTGAGTTTTCGTGCCGATATGACTACTGCGAGTGCCACTTTTCTAGGGTTGGGTATCGCGTCTCGGCATCATTGAGGGTTTTGCTGACATAGAAGACTGGCTGCTGCTCTCCTCGATCTTCTCGGACGAGGACTCCGCTTACCGCCGTGCTTGATATTGCGATATATAAGAGTAGGGTCTTCGCCTTCTTCGGGTTTTGCGAGAATTGGTGGGGTAGTGAGATACTCTTTCAATTGTTTGAAAGCGTCTTCGCATTTTTTGTCCCACTCGAACTTCTTGTTTGATCGAAGCAATTGGTAGAAGGGGAGACACTTGTCGGTTGAGCGCGAGATGAATCTGTTCAATGCGGCGATACGTCCGGTGAGTCTTTGGATTTCTTTGGAGGATGTCGGCGATGGGAGGTCGAGGATCGCCGAGATCTGCTTCGGGTTTGCCTCTATCCCGCGTTGGGTCACAACATACCGAGGAATTCTCCCGAGGTAACGGCGAATGTGCATTTTGCGGGGTTCAGCTTCATCCCGTACTTCTCCAAGATTCGGAAACATTCGCTGAGGTGCTTGACGTGATCGTGCCTGGCAGATTTGACTAGCATGTCGTCGATATAGACTTCCATGCTTCTACCGAGCTGGTCCGCGAACATTTTGTTCACTAATCGTTGATAAGTGGCGCCGGCGTTCTTCAGGCCGAAGGGCATCACTTTATAGCAATAGGTGCCACGATCGGTAATGAATGCCGTCTTCTCGCGATCATCGGGATGCATGAAGATCTGATTGTATCCTGAAAAGGCGTCCATGAAGGATAGTAATTCATTCCCTGCCGTGGCCTCGACGAGGCGATCGATATGCGGTAAAGGGAAGCTATCCTTTGGGCATGCTTTATTCAGGTCTGTGAAATCGACGCAGACTCTCCACTTTCCGTTTTTCTTTTTGACGACGACTGGATTTGCTAGCCATTCGGGGTATTTTACTTCAGTGATCGATCCGGCTCTAAGTAGCTTTTCCACTTCTTCATTGACTGCTTGAGCTTTATCGGCGCCGAGCTTGCGTCTTTTCTGTCTCATGGGTTTGTAGGTAGAGTCCACGTTTAGCTCGTGGGATGTGATTGCCGGGTCGATCCCTTTCATATCTGCCATTGACCATGCGAAAAGGTGCACGTTCTGTTTGAGCAATGTGACCAGTTGCTCTTTTATCTTTTCGTCGAGGTCGCCACCGATGCCAACGCACCTTTCCGGACCGATTCGTCGATATTCACCTCGTCGACGAGGGCCGGCTTTGGTCTCTGGTGGTATGGAAGGCGTGGATCCATTTCCTCGTTTGCGGTGCATGTTGCTGCTAGGCGGAGCCGTCGCTCATAGAGGAAGCATGACCTTGCTGCCCCCTTGATTCCCTCTCAGTGTGTAAATTCCTGATTGTGCCGGGAATTTCACACATTGGTGAAAGGTCGAGACGACGGCCTTCATCTCGTGGAGCCATGGGGTGCCCAAAATGGCGTTGTAAATGGCTGGTTTATCGATGACGAAGAATTCGGCGGCTTTGGTTGTTCCGCCGACGTGGATAGGTAGGCGGATCGTGCCTTCACTGGAGACGTGTTCGGAGGTGAACCCGGTGAGGGAGTACAACGAACGCTTGATCTGGTCTCTGCTGATTTCCATGCGGTTGAGGGTCTCTTTGTAGATTAGATTCACCGTGCTCCCGGTATCGATCAGGATTCTTGCTACGCTGGAGTCACTGATGTGCAAGCTGACCACGAGTGGGTCGACGTGAGGGGTATCCAGCCCCGCCGTATCTTGATCCGTGAAGATGATAGTGGGGATTTCTTCGCGGGTCGGGTTGCGATCGTGCTCCACCGCTGCGTATTCATGCTCCGTGATCGTCGAGATGGAATCGCGATGGATGGGGTTGCTCATTATCATGTTAATCTCTTGCCCTGATTCGTCGGAGTAGTTCGTTACGTCATCCGGCGTGTTTTCCGGGATTACGGGTGCCGGCTTTCGTCTGTGACGAGAGCGGTCCCCTTTTATCGGTGGTAGCTCCCCGTGCTGGTATCTCCGAAGGAGATCGCGAGTTAGGCGTCGGCAGTTTCTTGTAGAGTGGTCACCGGTTCCGTGGAGGCGGCAAAACGTGTCAGAGTCGTCGAGATCGGGCGTCGCGACATCTGTTGCCCGTTTCTTGATGTGATGCGGTTCCTGCTCGGGCTCGTTGTCGGCTGCTGCGAACGCCGTTAGGAGTGATCTTTTTGGATTATATCTTTTCGTGCCTCCATGGGTTCCTCTCTGGGTTTCGACGAGGTTGCCCTCCTATCTCCATGTTTCTCGGCGTAGAAGCGCTGGTCTTCCTCGAGGAAGATGTAGTTCCGAGAGCGGTGGAACGCGTCCTCCAGAGTCGCAGGGGGTTTTAGTGACAAATCCTCCTTGAACTTGGAGTCGTACCAGAGGCCGTTGCGGAGTGCTTCTAGCGGGACGCTATCGGGCATGTCGCCAGTGTCGCGAGCTGCTTGTTTGAACCTTTCCATAAAGCTGCGCAATGGTTCGCCTTGGGTTTGCGTTGTGGTGAACATGTTCCGAGTGATTCGGGTCATGTGCATGGAGTAATGCTTCAGAAAAGCATTGGTTAGGTCGTCGAAGTTATCGATCGACTCGGCGGGGAGGTTAGAGAACCAGGTCAAGGCATCTTTCGCCATGTGCTCGACGAATACTTGACAGTAGTTGGCCTCCCTTTCATCGTAAGATTTGTATTTCTCCCTCCTCATGGCGAGGTTGAACGCGGTTAGCCACTTCTTGGGGTCTTCTTCGCCGGTGTAAGAGTCGATTTTGAGTCGAACTCTTTCGTGTAGCTCAATCTGGCGGAGCCTGCGGGTGAGCGGGCTTCTTCGGGTGTCGGCGAGTGCTTTCGTCAATTCCGGAGCTGAGCTGGTGGCGCGATGAACTTTCGAATCGACCTCGTCGAGGCGACGATTCACCCGTTCGAGTTCTTGGGTGGTAAGTCGCCTGAAGTGCGCAGGACGGGGGTTGTTCCGTCAGTGGGACTTGACGGATCTTCATCGTCTTCTCGTGCTAGGGCTTCCACCTGTTCCTGAGTCTTTTTCTGCTGTGCTCGCATTGACTCGAAACCGTCGGCGAGTGGCTTGACGAGATTCTCCATGAGTTTGAGGATCTTCTCGCTCGAGGAGGATTTCTTCGAGCTGCGGGGTTTGTCGCTCGAGGAAGATTTTCTCGAGCGGCGTGGTGCGGACGGAGGGGGCTCTCGTCCTTTCTTGGCGGAGGGGATCGTTGCGGCGAAGTATCTTCGCGGCGAGACGGATCTCTGTGGCGAGACAGATGGGTTTCTTGTAGGGAGCAGGCTTGTCCCTACCTTCAGCGGGTAGCGACTTGTCTATCGTGCTGGTAGACTGTCGCTTAAGTTTTCTTCTGAGGGAGACGGGCTCCCGGTGGGAGTGTTCTCTTTCGAGTTCACCATCGTTGCTAGTTCGTGAAAATCTAGATATCTTCGAGATGAATAGCGAGAAGCGTTTCCAGCCCCACGGTGGGCGCCAATTGTTGAATCCGAGATAGCACTCGTCAAGACGGGCTATCAAGATGTGA